TTGATGCCCTTGACAAGGCTGGGTGCCTTTTTGCACATCAACTTATATCAAATGAGAACCGTGTAAATCAGTCTTACCATCCTTTCTTTGTCTTAGTTTTGGGATAGAGTTAGACCGGAAGGGATTCAAAGAAAAACAAACAATAGAATGGATAATGAATTTAAACAAAAGGTATCCCTTTCGGGGAAAGAATAGAAGGACTTATATGGAGTACATGCAGACTTCAATGAACATGACATGCTTTTTGGACTGGATGCCTGATCTATGCAAACCGTCCAACTCTCACAAATGTATCACAACCTTTGCCTCGAAATCAAGAAATCTTGCCAGGATACTATCGATGCTGATGGCTGTAAGGATCTTCTTTTCAATCAGTGGCGCCCTTTGCGGATTTTCACTAGTTGACCGCTCTCATTTCTCTTCTCTCCACCGCCTTATAGTGCTCTTTACGAGTTTTCACTAACAAGACTCTCTCATTTCTAGTTTCTCTGCTTACTGTCGCCTCACGGTACCCGTGTGGGTTTTCACCAATAAGACTCTATCATTTTATTTCTCTTATTTTGTTGTATCAGATCCAAGTAACTATATCTTCCAATTTTAGACATCTTTACCGATTGATCGAAAGGACTTGAACAGGATTTGGGGTAAAAATAGTTTGGATTGAATTACAACTTTGGAACCTTTCAGGCAAACCGTCGCCGAACCATTATAAATGCCGCCCCAGTTTCAACTTTTGGGGGAAATGTGGATTTTAATTTTTTTATTTTGGTGTGACTGAACCCCAGAGAGACAACCCGCATAATTAAGAATTAACCCAACTATGCGACGCTTTCTTCTCTCTCATGCAAAAACCCTAAACTAGAGAGAGAAACCTCGTTATGAGCATGCCGGTCGGTGGCCAGCCTGTTTCAATGGCTGGTCAGCCTCCCCCCTCCAGCGCAACACCCTCTACTGCCCCAAACACAAACACCCAACCATTAGATTACTCCAAAATGCTGAAACCATGCACAATAAATGTTGCCATGCAAGAACGTAAAGTTTATGTTGATCCTATTTCATTGAGACGAGCAGCAATTCTCAATGGGCAACCTATAGTAGTGTTTACTGAGACAGAAGTTGAACGAATGAATGTTATTGAGGGACTTCAATATGTAGTGGTTGGAAAATTTTCTTATGGATGGTCAGATCTTAATGAAATCCAACGTATTGTTCCTGCGCAATGTGGGATTAAGGGAGAGTGTAGTATTGGATTCTTAAGAGATAGGCATGTTCTTATTAGATTGACCTTGTGGCAAGACTTTGTTGATTTTTCATCTAAAGGAGCATATTATGTTACTGACAAAGCAGGTAATGAATATCAATTGCGACCTCTCATATATGATGCTAAGTTTAAAGCTAGGGAACTCATATGGTTATGGCATGGATATCATTCCCAGGTTTGTTGCCTACCTACTTTGTTAAGGAGTGCTCATTCTCACTTGCTTCAGTTGTGAGAAAACCATTATACTTATATATGGCGACAATAAATAAGACTCATCCAAGTTGTGCTCGAGTTAAGGTCTTGGTTGATTTATTAGTTGACCTTCCAAAGAAGGTGAGAATGGACATTGTGAATGAGGAAACTGGTAATATAAGGACAGAATGGGTCAACATCAAATATGACATGATGCCTAAGTATTGCAAGCAATGTAAATTATAAGGCCTTGAGGAGATTGAGTGATGGCGTTTGCATCCGAAATTGATGGTTAATGAACATAACAAACAGGTTGCAGCAGTGAAAGGGAACAATAAGGAGCAGACTAATCAGCCTCTAATGATTCTTTCAAGTGGGAAGGTTTTTGGGAATGTTAATACAACTGGTGAATAATGGAAGGAGGTTAGGTATAATCGTGTGAATAATGGTGATAAGAAGATGGATGATTCAGCTCAGAAGGGTAAAGAAATTATTCCAACAGGTAATACCAATGTGCAGCATGTGTAAGATGAAAAGAAGGTGCAAGTTTCCAACAAATTTGCAGCTTTGGAGGCTTTTGAGGAAGGGAATGAGCAAAATCAGTTGGCTATTGTTGAGGCTGCTCAAGAAGTGACTCAAGTGGAAAACATCTCTCCTGCTAAGGAAAAGAATCGAGGTTCGGGTAGTAGAAGTCCCAAAAAAGCATCACCTACTGGAAATAAGAAAGGATTAAATCCTTCAGGCCCAAACTTTAATCCATTCTTAAAAGGGAGTGAAGCAGCAAAGCAAGGGGTATGTAATACTCTAACTGGAAGAATGAGTGGTGAACAATTGAATGTGGAGACTAACTCACAATGGGTACAAAGAGCTTTTGTTGGCAATGTTGTAGCTACTAATACATCTTATTAGGAGATTTCATCTCAAGACACAAGGGTTGATAACAATTTAGCAAAGAAGCAGAAAAAAGAAGCACATGCAGAATCAGAGGCAAGTGATGATTTGTTTACATCAACAGAAAAGACCAAGTGGACTGGTGGTAGATTATGGGAGGATCAAATTGAAGAGGATTCAGAAGAAGGAGACATTCCAGATGGTATGCAAGCTGAAAGAGATTCAGATGTTGACATTGAAGAAGAGTAGCAAAGTGTATATGGCGAGGCAAATATTAACAAAGAGGAGGAGCTGATCAACAAAGTTCAGGAGGATCCAAAGACTACTGATGAGAACAAAGAAGGAAGGGGTGATGCAGATAATGCTAATAATGAGACAGGAATCCCTATTGCTGCAACAAGGGACCCTAGTACTGCTGCAGTTAATCCTAAAGACGTTAATGTGAACATGGGAGATCCGGGTGGAACTGGGAAGCCTACTATAATACCTTAAGTGACCAACATGAATACAAGAGAGAGTGCTAGATCTGGAAATAAGCAGAAGGTTAAGGACCAAGTCAATGTGGAGATGATCAACTCTGTCCCATTGGATAACAGTCAAATTAGGCAGCAACAAGCTGGGGAAAAAGCTATATTCTCTACTGTGCAGGCCAGAGAACTTGACACATATGTCATACAAGATAAAGGAGCAGATGAACACATAGAAAGAGCGGGCAAGGACTTTGATGAAGAGTCCACTGCTCAAAACTTCAGAAACATAGCAAGACTAGGTGACTTATCTCCTAGGCACACGGACAAAGCAAAATCTGCAACAAAAGGGAGGAAGAAGACTGTGAAGGATCCAGTAAAGGAATCATCTATTGTTCCTGTAACTGGAGTACAAATAAGGAGGACACTCACAAAATCAAATAACCTGTAATGGATGGTCTGATATGGAATATAAGGTCTGTGAAAACCATGCAGGCATTTGAGAAGCTCATTACAATGCATAAACAACATCACTTTGAGTTCACTGGACTCATGGAACTAAACAACAAGCTAGGAAACTGGAGAGGTATAGAAGAAGAATTAGATTTGCTCAGGCGATTGCAAATGTCTCCAATACAATATGGGTGTTCATTGATGAGGTATTTGAAGTTGATATTCTATATGACATGGTACATCAGCTAACATTAAAATTATTTCACACTGAATCTCGTGTGGAATTTATATTAACATTGGTATATGCAAAATGTGACTCTATAGAGAGGATTGAGTTGTGGGATTCATTGTATAATTTGGCAAGAGATATGTCAGTTCCATGGCTTGTTTTGGGGGGGACTTCAATGTAATATGGGATGAAGAGGAGAAATTTGGGGGACTGCCAGTTTCATTGAATGAGATTGATGACTTTAGGCATTGCATAAACACCTGCAATCTCTCAGATTTGGGCTTCAAAGGGAGTATATTCACATGGTGGAATGGGAGAGTAGATGAAGAATGTATTTTTAAGAGACTTGATCGTTGTTTGGCTAATACGGAATTTCAGCAAACTTTTCCTGGATTGGAGGTTACTCATCTTCCAAAAATAGGATCAGACCACTGCCCATTGCTTTTAAAATGTGATATTAAAGCATCACCAGTGAGGAAAGCCTTCAGATTTCTAAACTTTTGGATCAAGCATGAGTCCTATAAAGAAGTGGTGAAAGAAAATTGGCGTGCTGATTTTTATGCCAATCTATTTATACTTTTCAATTATAAATTGAATAAACTGAAGAAAGCATTGTCGGTGTGGAGCAAAGAAATATATGGGGATATATTCCAAAAGATAGCAAGCTTAGAGGAGGTTGTTTTGGTTCATGAAGCTCAATTTGAGGTTGTCCCTTCTCAAGACAATAGAGAGAGGTTACAAAAGGTGCAGGCAGACATGATTAAATATTTTGCTATAGAAGAGAAGTTTTGGAAGCAAAAATCTGGAATGCAATGGTTCAAGGATGGAGATAGGAACACAAATTTTTTCATGTACATGTCAATGGTCTAAAGAAAAGGCTTTAGCTTAAAAGAATTCAAAACAGTACTGGTATATGGTTGGAACAAGAGGAGGAAATTGCAGAGGAGGTAGTGAAATCTTTCAAGGATCAATTTACTGAAAATACTGTTCCTTCAGATTTTCGTATACTTGATCATATTCCTACACTAATAGATGGGGAGAAAAATGCAGAACTGTTGAAGCAGCCAAATAAAGAGGAGGTCAAGCAAGTAGTATTTGGTTTAAATGGTGAGAGTGTAGGAGGTCCTGATGGATTTACGAGCAGTTTCTATCATGCTTGCTGGGATATCATTGGAGATGACATCTTTGATATGGTCAAAGATTTCTTCAATGGACAAGAATTGCCCAAATGTGTTACTCACACAATCTTGTCCTACTGCCTAAGAAGAAGGAGGTGACAACTTTTTCAGATTTGAGGCCCATAAGTCTTAGCAACTTCACCAACAAAATCATCTCAAGAGTGATTCATGAGAGGTTAGTAGGTTTTCTGCCCAATATCATATCGGAGGAACATGCTGGATTTGTTAAGGGGAGGAGCATAGTTGAAAATGTCTTATTAACTCAAGAAATTATAACTGAAATAAGGTTGAGAACAAAGGCAGGCCCTAATGTAGTTATTAAACTAGACATGACCAAGTCATATGACAGGCTTTCATGGTTGTTTTTTACTAAGGTGCAAAGGAAGATAGAGTTTGGAGAGAGATTCATAGGGTTGGTGTTTGGGATTGTGTCAAACAACTGGTATTCAGCGCTAATAAATGGACAACCCTATGGTTTCATCAAATCATCCCGAGGGGTCAAGCAAGGAGATCCCTTATCTCCTAGACTTTTCATCTTGGCTGCTGAAGCTTTATCTAGAGGTTTGAATGCTCTACATTTGAATCTCTATTTTGGTGGTTATGGAATGCCTAAGTGGAGTCCTAAAATCAACCATTTGGCATACGCGGATGATACTATCATTTTCTCTTCATCAGATGCTACCTCCCTTAGATTAGTAATGGAAGTTTTGACTGTATATGAGGCAGCTTCTAGTCAGTTGGTGAACAAGAGCAAATCTGCCCTTTATATGCACCATTTGGCTGATGTGGAGGTTGTCACAAAGGTTGAAAGAATCACTGGAATTGGAAGAAAAGAGTTTCCTTTCACTTATCTTGGGTGTCCTATTTTCTATGCTAGGAGGAAGATGGATTATTATCAAGATTTGATCACTAAGGTTATGGATAAATTGCAAGCATGGAAAGGGAAATTATTATCAAATGGTGGCAGGGCAATCTTGATTTCTCATGTTCTCCAAAGTATGCCAATTCACTTGCTTTCTGCAGTGAATCCTCCACATTATGTCATTAACAAGATTCACAAAATATTTGCACAATTTTTTTGGAGTAGTACCATAAGAGGCAATAGTAGGCATTGGGCTTCATGGAATAGTTTGTGTATGCCTTGTGATGAAGGGGGTATTGGGTTTAGATCACTGCATGACGTATCAAGGGCTCTATTTTGTAAGTTATGGTGGAATTTTAAAACAAAGCCAAGTTTATGGAGTTCCTTTATGTGCCAAAAGTATTGCAAAAAGCTAAATGCTATAATTGTGCCTTGGAGGAAGGAATCTCATACTTGGAGGAAAATGTTGGAGTGTAGGGATGTTATTGAGCATCAAATTACATGGCAACTGAAGATGGGCTCTTCTCTTTTTTGGTTTGATAATTGGACAGGACTAGGGGCTTTATATTTTCTAGTTCCTCCAAATTTTTTTATTGATGAAACAATTCATAATGTGTATGAAGTTCTGGAGGAAGGTGCATGGAATGTTGAGGAAATTATGGAGATTCTGCCTGAGGAGTTTGCTGTGCACATGATCTGGAGAAAATTAAGCCTCCAGTTATGGAGAACACTTTGGATGTACCATACTGGATGCTCGAGACTCGTGGTAATTTTTTTTAGTGTAAAGTCTGTGTGGGAGTATTTAAGGAGGAGAAATGATCCAAGACTTGCATACAAAATGATATGGGTAAAGGGATTACCTTTCAAGATCGCATTCTTCATGTGGAAGTGTGGAAAATAAACTTCCTCTTGATGATTTCATGAGGCGATTGGGATATTGTATGCCCTCAAAATGTTGGTGTTATATTGAGCCAAAAGAAGAATCTTTGATACATTTATTCTTCACATCACAGGCCGCCAAGATAGTATGGAAATATTTCCTATCTAGAGCAGGGATACGACTGGAGGGTTTGACATTGCATCAGGCGATCACTAGTTGTTGGACAGTTCAGGTGCTGCCCAGAATTAAGCCCATAATGCAAGCCCTTCCTTCTTGCATTATATGGGAACTGTGGAAAAGGAGAAACAGCTTTAAATATGGGGAAGTAGTCTCAATCAGCATGGTTATTTACCAGGTATCCTCTTCTCTTCAAGCTCTTGTAAGAGTAAGGAAGCCAGGCCTTATTAATGTTCATCATAAGTGGCAAGATATGTTAACAATGCTGGAAAACTATACTCTTAGGCTGAAGTATGACAAGGTCATTTGGGAGTTGCCTATGGTGCGTTGGGTGAAGGTAAATACTAATGGTGCCTCGAGGGTGAATCTGGGGAGGAGCTCAATTGGTTTGTGTATAAGAAATGATGATGGAGATTTAGTATATGCTCTTGGAAGGGAGATCAATTGTCACGGCCCGGAATTCCCAACCTCGGGAGCCGTGACGGCGCCTACTCGTAGAAGCTAGGCAAGCCACAATTCCTAAATCCCTAACTTTTTTATTTTTAATCCTTTTTATTGATCATAACATCGAGCGTTAAATATTAATATAATAGCGGAAATATGGAATTAAAGCGGAAGATTTAAATTAAATAAGCTGATCAATAATGCGGAAATCAACATATTCCTCTACCCAAGAACTGGTGTCACATCACTCACGAACTACTAAGAGTACTAAATACAACCATTTGAAAGAAATATAACATTGTTTGTCTCGAATACATGAGATAACAGAATGGAATATAAGATAGAGGAGACGCCGAGCCTGCGGACGCATGCAAGGCTACCTCGATATCTCGGCGGGTTGAAGGCTGGCTCCCGCGCTACTGCTGCTGTCCAATACCTGGATCTGTGCAAAAGAGCACAACGTGTAGTATCAGCACAACCGACCCCATATGCTGGTAAGTGCCTAGCCTAACCTCGGCGAAGTAGTGACAAGGCTAGGACCAGACTACCAAATAACTCATGCAGTTCAAATATATATACATGTACAAAGGAAAAGAAATATAGGAAATAACCAGTCAGTGTGGGAAGGGGAAACATGTTGGGGGAGGTAACAGTTCCAAATAGAAAACCTCAACAAAAGGGGGGAAGTAACAAAGCCAAAATGTCAACAATAATCAGAAATCAACAATTTGCACGGCATCACCCTTCGTGCTTTTACTCTCGTCCTCACACAAACAATATCAATAATAAAAATGTGCACGGCATCACCCTTCATGCTTTTACTCTCGTTCTCACCAAATCAATCATATCATAATAATGTGCACGGCATCACCCTTCATGCTTTTACTCTCGTTCTCACCAAATCAATCATATCATAATAATGTGCACGGCATCACCCTTCGTATTTTTATTCTCTTTCCTCACAATATAGTCAACGAATATCGGTACGGGATGGTATGTCGTATGGTACGGGATCGTACGTCGTATAACAAGATCAGAATATCCGCAATATAAAGACTCGCGGTCATGCTAGACACCAAGGTATAGACACTCGTCACCATGTCTATACGTCGTACTCGACAATTAGCACGTAGCAAATAAGACTCAACTCATAATCCCTCAAGCTAAGGTTAGACCAAACACTTACCTCGAAGCTTTGAACAAAACTCAAGCCTCAATTATAGCTTTACCCCTTGATTCCACCACCAATCCGCTCGAATCTAGTCACAAGTTACTTAATTACATCAATAAGTGCTAAATGAATCAACCTCAATGCATGAAAATGAGTTTTCCCAAAGTTTTTCCCAAAAGTCAAAATCACCCCCAGGCCCACGTGGTCGAAACCCGAGGTTCGGACCAAAACCCGATTACCCATTCCCCCACGAATCCAAATGTATAATTTGTTTTGAAATCAAACCTCAAATTGAGGTCCAAATCCCCAATATTTGGAAAACCTAGGTTCTACCCAAAACACCCAATTTCCCCCATGAAAATCTTTGATTTTAAGCTGAAACCATATTAAAAGATGTTAATGATTGAAGAAAACTAGTTAAAAAGACTTACAATTGCTTTGGAGAAGAAAGGTTGTTTGAAAAATCGCCTCTTATGTTTTTGGGGTTTTGAAAAGTGAAAAATAACTGAAACATTCCGTCTATTTATACCCCTCTTAGACCCTCACCACGGACCGCATAAAAAGGACTGCGGTCGCAGAGCTCCACCGCGGACCGCATTAAACGGACTGTGATCGCACATGCCTCTNAATGACTCAAGTCATATATAAGACCTGTACCGGGCGCCGGAACCAAAATACGGGCTCGATACCAACTCCTTCTAATCAAATTTCATTTCAATTTCTTTAGACATTTTCAGAAAAACAATTTCCTTAAAAAAATTCACTTCTCGGGCTAGGGACCTCAGATTCCGATTCCGGGCATATGCCCGAGTCCTATATTTTCCTACGGACCCTCCGAGACCGTCAAATCACGGGTTCGGGTCCGTTTACCCAAAATATTGACCGAAGTCAAATATATTTATCTTAACATTAAAACTTAGCATTTTTCACAAAATTTCATATTTAAGCTTTCCGGCTACGCGCCCGGACTGCGTACGCAAATCGAAGCGACTCTAAATGAGGTTTTCAAGGCCTCGGAAGCACATAATGGGTAAGAAAACAGGTGATGACACTTTGGGTCGTCACATTCTCCACCTTTAAAACAACCGTTCGTCCTCGAACGGACAGAAGAAGGAAGTACCTGAGCCGGGGAATAAATGAGGATAACGGCTCCGCATATTGAACTCGGATTCTCAGGTCGATGCCTCAGGAGGCTGACCTCTCCACTGAATACGAACAGAAGGGAAACTCTTGGATCTCAACTGACGAACTTGCCGGTCTAGAATAGCTACCGGCTCCTCCTCATAGGACAAGTCCTTGTCCAACTGGACAGTGCTGAACTCTAACACGTGGGATGGATCGCCGTGATACCTCCGAAGCATGGACACATGAAAAACTAGATGCACGGCTGATAAGCTAGGCGGCAACGCAAGTCTATAAGCCACCTCTCCCACTCGATCAAGAATCTCAAGCGGACCAATGAACCTAGGGCTAAACTTGCCCTTCTTCCCAAATCTCATCATGCCCTTTATAGGAAACACTCGGAGCAATACCTGCTCACCAACCATAAAAGCCATATCTCGAACCTTGCGATCTACATAGCGTTTTTGCCTGGACTGGGCTGTACGCAGTCTATCCTGAATGATCTTGACCTTGTCCAAGGCCTCCTGTACTAGATCTGTACCCAACAACCGAGCCTCTTCTGGTTCAAACCATCCAACCGGAGATCGACACCGTCTACCATATAAAGCCTCATAAGGAGCCATCTGGATACTCGACTGGTAACTGTTATTGTAGGCAAACTCTGCTAAAGGCAAAAACTGATCCCACGAACCTCCAAAGTCAATAACACAAGCTTGAAGCATATCCTCCAATATCTAAATAGTCTGCTCGTACTGCCCGTCCGTCTGAGGATAAAATGTTGTACTCAACTCAACCTGGGTGCCCAACTCTCGCTGAACTGCTCTCTAGAAACGCAAAGTAAACTGCGTACCTTGGTCCGAAATGATAGATACCGGCACACCATAAAGGCGAACAATCTCCCGGATATAGATCTCAGCTAACCTCTCGGATGAATAGGAGACTGCCACATGATTGAAATGCGCTAACTTGGTCAGCCTATCAACAATGACCCAAACTGCATCGAACTTCTTCCGAGTCAGCGGAAGTCCAGTAACGAAGTCCATAGTGATCCGCTCCCACTTCCACTCGGGAAGCTCAATCCTCTGAAACAATCCATTAGGCCTCTAATGCTTGTAATTAACCTGCTGACAATTCAAACACCGTGCCACATATGCCATAATATCCTTCTTCATTTTACGCCACCAATAATGCTGCCGCAAATCCTAATATATCTTCGTGGCGCCCGGATGAATAGAGTACCGGGAACTATGGGCCTCCTCTAAAATCAACTCTCGAAGCCCATCCACATTAGGCACACAAACTCGACCCTGCAATCTCAAAACTCCATCAGCATCTAAGGTAACCTGATTGGCACCTCTACGTTGCACCGTGTCTCTAAGGACACACAAATGGGGATCATCAAATTGCCGATCATGGATACGCTCCAATAACGAAAAACGAGCGATCGTGCAAGCTAATACCCGACTAGGCTCAGAAATATCCAATCTCACAAATCGATTGGCTAAGGCCTGAACATCCAAAGCAAGCGGCCTCTCACCTACTGGGATATAAACAAGACTGCCCATACTGGCTGACTTTCAACTCAAAGCATCGGCCACCACATTGGCATTTCCCGGGTGATATAAGATAGTGATGTCATAATCCTTCAACAACTCCAACCACCTCCTTTGCCTCAAATTCAACTCCTTTTGCTTGAATAAATACTGAAGACTCTTGTGATCAGTGAACACCTCACATGCCACGCCATACCGATAATGCCTCCAGATCTTCAATGCGTGAACAATGGCTGCCAACTCCAAATCATGAACCGGATAGTTCTTCTCATGAATCTTCAACTACCTCGAAGCATAGGTAATGACCTTGCCATCCTGCATCAACACTACACCAAGCCTAATACGGGAAGCATCACAATAGATTGTGTAAGGCCCTGAACCCATGGGCAATACTAACACCGGTGTCGTAGTTAGAGCTATCTTGAGCCTTTAAAAGCTCTCCTCACACTCGTCTGACCATCTGAACTGGGCACCCTTCTAGGTCAACCTGGTTATCGGGGCTGCGATAGATGAGAACCCCTCCACGAACCGATGATAGTAGCCTGCCAATCCCAAGAAACTCCGAATCTCTGTAGTTGATGCTGGTCTAGGCCAGTTCTTGACTGCTTCAATCTTTTTCGGGTCAACCTGAATACCCTCTGCCAACACAATATGACCCAGAAATGCAACTGAACTCAAGCAGAACTCACACTTCGAGAATTTAGCATATAACTAACTATCCCTTAAGGTCTGAAGAACCACTCTAAGATGCTGCTCGTGCTCCTCCCGGCTACGGGAATATATTAGAATATCATCAATTAAGACTATCACGAATGAGTCCAAATAGGGTCTGAACACTTGGTTCATCAAATCCATAAAAGCTGTTGGGGCATTTGTCAACCCGAATGACATAACCAAGAACTCATAATGCCCGTACCGTGTGCGAAAAGCTGTCTTAGGGACATCGGATGCGCTAATCCACAACTGATGATAGCCAGATCTCAAGTCAATCTTTGAAAATACCTTGGCACCTTGAAGCTGATCGAACAAATCATCAATCCTCGACAGTGGATACTTATTCTTGATGGTGACCTTGTTCAACTGCCGGTAATCAATGCACATTCTCATCGAACCATCCTTTTTCTTGACAAATAACACTGACGCACCCCAAGGCGAAACACTAGGTCTAATAAAACCCTTCTCAAGCATGTCTTGCAACTGCTCCTTCAAATCTTT